GGTGGGTTCTGTATTAGAGTTTCTTAAAATAAGGTAGAGAACATTGTGAAGATGTTTTAAGGACAGAAGGCGAAAGAATTCTGTAGATTTAAAAATCTAATATTATATATTATCCTTGTAAAACAAAACATCCCTCTACTAAAATATTCATTATTCTTTAATTAGTTAAATGTTTTATGTCATAATGTACAAAAACTAAAGAAATAATTTATTGATCTAGATTATCTTTCAATACTTACCGCATCTTCTTCCAGATTCACATGAGATTTACATCGAAAGTACAAGTTTAAACTGCTTATTTTGGCGGTGAATACTAGTAGTTTCATATAAGCTAGAACCGTATAAGATATCAACCTTTTTAATTACTTAGAAATTCTTCATTACTGATATCTCCGCGATTTTATGCATAAAGGCATGGAACATTTTGTGTTAAAATTACTTGTAGTAATTTTTAAAGCATAATAAATATCTTGTGAATTAGATTTTTTGCTGTAAGGGAACTATTTAAAAAACTAGACTTTTGTATTTACAGAAAACTCCACACCATCAAGTTAAACAAACTTTTTTACAAATTACTTTGTTTTGAGAATTTGTGAATTCTCTCTATATATTTTCCCTTTTCTATTGTCGCCTTAAGAACCCTACAGCTTCGCCTCATGATAATCAAATTTCTATCCTTTAACTAAGCTTGTTATATATATAATTATTATATATATATCTAACTTGAATAATAGCAGGAAAAAAGAGTGACGACCGTAGAGACCATCTCATATATTGCTTTATTACTTTAAGGGAAAAAATTTATTATTATTGACCATACCGTCATTCATAATTCCAAAAATTCGAGTATATTCTACTATTCATGCAATATATTTTTATATCAAAAGCAAAGTACAGTTATTATAGAATACTTCTCTAATTCTTCGGCATCTGTCGAGTGACCATTATAAGTATTAAATTAATTAAGCCATACAGATAAATACTGGAGAAATTAAGTTGTCTTATGTCCCAGAAATGCGTTTTCTGCATTCACATCTAACCATTTTCCAACAGTTTAGGTGTAACTGGTGATGAACAAGAAGAACCTTTTAATAATGATGCAAAATTGAACATAGAATATTAATATGATTTCTGGAAGTAAGCCATGGTAGGGAACTACTATTAAATGCATGTTAAGGTATTATTGTTGAAATGCAATATTACGAAAAGGGTATGGCAGATAATCTCATATAAAACATTTTTAAACCGTCCAAACAATTCCTTAGCAATGTGCAATGCAAAAAAATGATATATGTTTCTGAAAACATACATAAAAAAAGTTAAACGTTATTAAGGAATGAACCATTTTTAGTACTGTTACTGCATTACGCACTGCTTCTGAAAACATATAGTATGTATGTATCAGTTTTAAAGTAATTAATTTCTTCTTCTACGGCAAGTGCTTTAAGTACAAGATGTGCAATATGTATTAACATTACTTATATAAAAAACGCTTATATAAAATACTTATATAAAAAACGCTTATATAAAATACTTATATAAAAAACGCTATAGTGTATTTCCTTCCGTTTTCCCGCATGCCTTCGTAGTATAACTGGAAGCACACTCAATGCGTATTCGAGAATTCCAGTCTCGAATACATTGAAGAAGTTCGAGGATTCGAGTCCCGGTGAGGGCGTTGCCATTTTTAATGACTCTAGCATAAAAAAAACCCTAATGACTCTTTAAGTGGCGCTCGTAAAAGGTGCTGGGCGATAATTCGTCACCACCAGGATTTGGCAATTTGGTCGCCTAATTCCTAGTCGCCCTTTAAAAGGGGGAGTATATAAGGTATTTTCTCCCTCTTTTCCGTATTCCAGCATGGTGTAACTGGAAGCACACTCGACGCGTATTCGGAAGGTCAGGAGTTTGAATCTCGGCTAGGCATAGCTCATTTTTCACGTCTCCAGCATCAAAAACCGTAATGACTCTACAACGTGATGGTAAAAGGAGCATTTTTCTTACACATCTGCCACGATTGCGCAAGACTGATCTTGCATCGGAGTGTTAATATCTTTAGTTTGCATAGTGTATATACATTATGACTATATATGAAAAATTTAGAGCATTAAGAGAATGGAGTTCAGAAATTTTACCAAATAAAAGAAGAAGGAAACTAATATATGATACTAAAGTAATAATTTTCCGAGTTAAAATACCATATCTTGCCATAATACCCAGAGATTTAGCATTACTATATTTTGTTTTCTTGATACGAAATGCATACAAAATTGTTGGTATAAACGTATTGAATAATTATCCATCACAACATAAATTACTAAAATTCATGCTCATATAAAAGCTTTAACACAACCAAAATGCACACTTCAAATATAAAAATGTATGGACTTAAAAATATGTAAATAAAAATTATGGATGAATTAACGTTTCCCACAGTGTGACGTTTTGGAGCTTTCTAGTAAGAATTTTCAATTTTAGATGCAAATTCAAAGTGTCTTAACCCTATTCATCTAAATTTAAACTTTTGAAAGTGATAATGTGATCGAAAAATGCATTGTTATGCCGAATGTGATTATGAAAGAAAATTAAATACAACTTGGTTTTAAGCAAGATATTCGATCGGAAATTGTTGTGTTTATCTCAAGTAACTGAAATTTATATGAAAGACGTGAAGAAATTAGTATCAAGAAAGATAAGAAAATTTTAAGTATTTTGTTTTCTGAAGGTTTTGACAAAAAGTATTTTTTTCATTTTAAATCGGGGGAAAAATTTATTCTTTCTGAAGGTTCGATATTTTATTAGAAAGGAATATGATAGAAATCTTTAATATCTGGTATATTTGAATATAGTAATAAAAGTAAATTAAAAGTAAGAAAGGTAAACTAATCTTTCCTCTAAGTATAAAGCTCATTATACTCAAAATGCTTCAAGAGGATTACAGAAGCATATAGAATACGTTTGCTAAAAATTCTCTAAAATATTAAATATATCCATGGAACAGCATTTTCCATTCAAAAGATAATTATGTAGTTCTAAAGTGTATACTACCTAAAATATATATTTTAACTATAATTATAATTATCACTTTAACTACATTAATTTTAATAACGTGTTTTTTAAGGTTCGAGAAGTATTTCAAAATGTTTGGAGATAAGATATTCATAAAACCTAAAATATTAATTTTGAGGGTTAAAAGTTCAGTAGTGCACATATTTCTTGGCTCTTTCGTATTTAGCTTCAGAGATATAGGAAATTTTGTTTTTCCCAAAATTTCTGATAAATATTACGTTTGCGACGTTTGAAAACGCGATTTACGATACATATTATATGTAGCATTGTTCTAACATAGGTATTTTGACACAAAATTGTACTTTTACTGAAATGACATACCTATTTTTTACCATACTTTTTGTTCTACGATTCAAATTATATCAAAATGTTAAATTTTGCTTAATTTGGGGAGAACGTTACCGAGAAATTTAAAAATTTCTCTTGGCGCACTTTTTCCAAACTATGACAAGAATAATTCACTAGGCGGATTTCTGAACTTATAGAAACCTGTTTCCCTTTCCCCCCTTTTTTTTATTGTGCACGAGAGAAAAAAAAGTTGCATCATTGATTCTTTCAACTAATTTTAACAAAGTACATAAAACACATTTGGCGTCATTATCGCTTATCACAAATATGCCAAATTTCAAAACACGACAGTGTATAAATCACATACAGCTTTGAAAATTTTGAATTAAAAAAATCTAACTTTTTGCAGGTATGCCAGAAATGCGTCTGATTTGAGGTGATAGTAAAATTTTATAGGTAATAATTCAAAACGTTTTTCCAAAAGTATATTAAGTTATCAAAAAATACGAATTTAGAAAAATAAATAAGAAAATATGTGCGAATATTTGGATTGAACCTAAGTTTCGAATTGTGAAAGAAAGAATCAAGTACGCTTAATGAAAAAAGAAAAGAGATACTGATAAATATATACAAAACTGAATTAACATTGAGAAGCTAAAATTTAGTTTTTTTTTTAAATCTATTCGTGCGATGTTTACGCACTTTGGCGTAATATGGAAATCGAGATATGGAAAAATATAGGTGTGTCATTTTATGTTAAAACAATGCTGTAAATATAATATACATTCTAAGCTGCGCTTTCGACTCATGAAAAACGCAATTTAAATTTCATGAGTGTGCGTGTGTTTTGTGTGTGTACGGTGTACATCTTTTTATAGTACGTCTGATACGCATACTTAGTTCCTTCACTTTTAAGCGAAATATTTACGAAAATTCATTAGTACTTTTGGTACTCTCAATTTCTACCACTGAGGTTTTAAACGTTTTCGTGATCGCAAATTATTGGGAAATTTTTCAGATGTCAAGAACTAATGCAACCTTAACCTATTAATTTCCATGGCTCCTACTATTTGCATATTTTGTTCGATGTGGAATGCCTAAGTAAGTATAGTCTTTTATTAAGCAGTAATTATTATTTTTTCGCTACTGTGTGTCACTTGTGCATCTGGTATTTAGTTTATCGTTGTTAAGTAAGTTAGTTTCTGAGTTACAGCATCCAATCTAAGAGAAGGAAATATATTTTTCATATTTCAAGATCTCCGTGCTTTAAAAATATTCAAGTCATAAATTAAACGAATTAGCGATAATTTCGAAATCCGATCTGTTATTTAATTATCTAATATGTTTTCTATCTGTATCTATCTGTATTTAGTGATGTATTTGCGCTTAGTATTGACTTAATTTTGCCACGGGGGTTACTTGAAGCACATTCCCCTCTTGGAGCTCGTGAGAAATTGAATATTGAAGTAACATTTATCTTCAGTCTTTAGTTGCCCAGAGAAAAAAAATGCAGGTTGCTGGAAGCAATTAGGCAGTCAACAATTTAATTATTCTAGAGAAGGAAAAGATCCCTTTTGCTCTCGAAACTGTAAATTCCAAGTGAGATCACTTCATGACACGAATTTATTCTTTCCTCTTTGTAGGCCAGCTCGCTCCCCTCTTTATGAAACCGACTTGGAAGGCCATTTATCCTTTCACGGAGAAACGTCTTTTCCGCAGCCACAGGAAGAGGGCTGCTTCAGAACACAATAGGGATCAAGAGACAGAGGAGAAAGAGAGAAATGAACTGGTGGACATCTTGAAGGACGAAGAACAAGAGGAGAGGAAGGAAGAAAAGAAGAATGAGAAAAAAGAATCTTCCAGGCACATTAAAACTAAACGCCAGTCTAGCGATGATACAGGGTCTAAGGACGAAATTAAAGGTCTTGCTACAGTTGGAAGTGAAGAACAAGAAGAAGCAGCTCCGAAAGAAGATTTTCAGGTTAGAATTGAAAATAGTTATGGTTACTCTCTCAGGTCTATTTGAATTGGGTATCACCTAGATAGAACTAACGTAGAAAAACCTTCATCAAAACTGAGATTATAAATTAGTCACAAAACTATCACACATAAAACAACTGTGCTTAAGCAAAAGCACTCCTTTGTTTTAATGAGGCAGCACCCGAATTGCATTTGCATTATACAGCTACTAGTTCTGTAATAAATGCAAAATGTTCTCCAATTAATAACTCGAATATTTATGCGATACAGTACATGATACATGAACATTCTGAAAAGTCATACATGAATAGTGCAAAAATAGTATGGTTTCACTTAATACTGTTGAATATATGAGGTAATTATTTAGTTTTTATTCATTCAAAGAAATTTATTGCAGTTAACGTACAAGAAAACATTAATGAACAAATTTAAGAATGTAAACTGAAAAACTAGCGCAAGTAATTCCTATTAAAATTACACATAGAAAGAACACTCTGCACAGAAAAAGAAAAGGACAGTTCTATATCTCCCGTTCTTATAGACGATTGGAGAAATTAAATTTGCATTTTTCATATCTAGAAAGCGCAACTTAGGATATATACAGTATTGTTTAAACATAGGTATTTTAGTACGGAATTGGACATTTTCTGAAAGGACATAGAAAGTTTTCCCATATTTCGATTCTAGGACTAAAATTATGACTAAATATTGAATTTTGAAAAACTGTGTAAGAAACTTGCCGAGAAATTTAAAAATTTATCTTGGCGTGCATTTTTGAATTTGCAACAAGAATAATGTACTTGGCTAAATTCTTTATTTATGGTAACCTATTTTTCCTTTCCCTTTCACTGTGCACGAATGGAAAAAAAAGATGCATCATTCAGTTTTCAAATAATTTTATCAAGTGTAAACTCTATTTGACATTATTATTGCTTATAACAAATATACCAAATTTCGAAACTCGCCGATACATAAATTCGTATATATCTTGGTAAACTGTAATGTTTTTTATGAATGCCTAGAAATACTTTAAGGTGATGGTAAAAATTTTATAGGTTACGATTCAAAATTAGTTTTCAAAAGTTTACGAAAATTACTAAAACATAAAAATTTAAAAAAATAAATCAGAAAATATCTGCGAATTTTATTTGGATTGAACTTAAATTTCGAATTGTGAAGAAAGGAATCAACTAAGTTTAATAAAAAAAAGCAATAGTAATAAATATATATCAAATTCAATTAACATTGAGGAGGTAAAATTTTGAGAGATAACATTTTAAAAACTACTCACGCGATTGATGTAAAAATTGGTCTTTTGGTATAATTTGAATCGTAGAATCAAAATATGGGGGAAAATTGATATGAATTTTCAAAGAGTGTCCTATTTTGTGTTAAAATATGTATGTTAGAACAATATTATTCATAAATCTAATATACATCTTAAGTCGCACATTCGAGACATGAAAAACGCAAGTTAAATTTCGTCAATAGGTTTAGTAGAAGGAGAGACATGGAGTGCCCATTTTTTCTTTTTGTTCTTTTTTTGTGCAGAGTGTACATTTAGTTGCTATTGTAGTTATGTGAAAAACTCATTTTTATTAGAATTTTTTTAAAAAACATTGCAGATACGTTTGATAACTCTTACCAAAAAAAGGGAAGTTCTTGCAGAAGAAGTGAAATAACTTACATATTGCAAGCACTAGCAATAACAACAATAATGCTTTGGCAAAGTTAAACAGAGTTCCAATAAAGCTGCATTCAGCATCATCTTTAGATATTAGTTATTCAAGCTAATTTTAACTGTATTTTTCTTTATCAGTTTATAATCATACCAATTAAGTAACAATTTTAGATAAACGGCCGATGCAAGAAACCTGACTATCAGAAGAAATAAGCCACATAAGAATTTGAAAATAATGTAGAACTTTTTTTTTTTTTTTTTTTTTTTGAAAAAGTTTGCATAGTTGCAAAATTGTCGTTAAAGACTGTTAAGGAAATAAATAATATGAAGTCTACCCGATTATTTACTGCATCTTTTATTTTGAGTGTCGTATTCACTGAGTGTTTTTTCAAGCTTTCATACAAAGTGTATTTATCCTTTGCATAAGGTTATAACACAGAAACACTGTAAGAAACAAAAGCTATGATTTCTATTATCAATACGGGGATTTTAAATCAATATGGAGTAAATAAAGTATCAAGAATAAAACAGGGATGTATAACGTTTCGCTGCAGGTTTAAAAAATATAAATTTGTACAAATATATCAGTGCACAAAAAATTATATATATATATATATATAATATAAATATAGTTACAAAACATTCTTTTGAAAACAAAACACAAATATGCCTAGTCATCTTCGCGCATTAAGCTGCAGAAAGATTATCATTAAAGACATAAAGTAGAAATTTAGAACTAAAATTTTATACAAAGACCAGAAATTGAAATTCATAATTAATAAATTTCAATAAACTAAAAACTTATGTCTTTAATAATGTATACAACATATATATATATATATAAAATTAAACATCCCTGTCTTAGACGTCAACAGTTTGAGCTTATAATGATTACATTTTAGAAGGAGTAAACATGCCTTTAAAATTTCATCATATAATAAAATTAATAGCTTAAAAATTTATTATCTTAAAATAAGTGCGAATTGATTTTTGATGAATGCAAATCTATTTTAAATTAATCCGCAACAATTTAACTTCCCTCTTTTTTCTCAAATCTATTCATCATGCAATATATCATCATATGTTCAAAGCACGCAATAACATAAATTGCTTATTTAAAAGGATTTTAAATGCTATATTGTTTTTAAATGATTAACTACATTAGAATACACTTTAGGCGTATTTATATCCTTTAAATAAATCGACATCTCTTTCTTGCTTGAAAATCTATGGATTCAATTAGGGACTAAGGACGGCAATGTCTAAATTCAAATTCAGTCTGCATTAGCTTGCAGATACGTTGGTAGCAGCAAAACGTAAATAATGTACGTTATGTCACTTATGAATTCGTGTGATACAATTTAATATTCGGATATCTATTAAAGCTTCCTACAACGCATATGAACAGTTTGCATGCTGGCTAAAATAATATTGCTAAAATAAAGTTGCCGCTTTGCCTAAATTAGTGAGGTACCTGAAACGAACAGTGAGAGCTTTGTTTATTTTATACTCAGAAAAGGCATAGGCCATTTAAATTATTATGCCTTATCTATTCTTAATGAAAACACTTAGGATTAATTTTCGGTATTGTCAATAATAAGCCTTCCTTAAAATTTTGTAATATTTAGGAATGGTTGAGACGAGAATACTACAGAAACATGGCAAGATCTTTCGCTTCTATGAGAAGAAAGCGCGATGGATCAAGTTACGAGGAACCAGGCCATTCCAAAACAAAAATTTCATCTTCAAAACGAGAGAAAAAGAGTAAAAAGCCCATCAGCTTTGAAGAAGTGACTGATAATTTACGTGCCATTGAAGATGTCCTCTTCTTAGATGCCCTCCAGACTATAAAAGATGCTGGTGACGATTATGATGATGACGTCCAAAGGCAGAATCGTATCAATAATGACCTTAGTTCTGCGTATGATTTGGAAACTATGAGAAATGCTCTCTTCCGTCTGCGAGACACATTAGGAAACATGGAAAGTGAATCCATGCCTGACGACGATGGGGTTTACATGGCAGCTCGGAAGCGAAGTAAGGCTACACTTTTTTTTCTCATTTTCATTTATTTCACTTATTTTTCAGCATGAAACAGATCGAATAAAATTTATATGCATTTCTGTGTAACCCAGTATTCATCAACTTATTAACGGCTTGCGTTTGGGAATGCATGAAAGTTTTGACATACATTTGGATATTTTAAAAACTAAAAAGAAACACATTACATGAATAATGGAAAATCATTTACACAGTACTTTACTTAGATCAAAAATAGTGAGAAAAGCTTTCTTAAAACAGTAGGATCTATAAAGAAAAGATCTAATTTAAAAAAATTTCGAAGCGTAAAGAAATAAAATTCATTATGAATTATAGAAAATAGAAATTACAGCATATTCTTGATACATATGTATCTTTCATAAAGCTCGACCTTTAAATGTTTAAACTCTCTGATAAAAATTTACAATGTAAATTTAAAAGCGTGAAAACAAACTCTCGTTTTCTACACATTTTGTAACGCTAAATGAAAGAAAATATTCCCATTTGATACTTATCATAATAATAAAAAAAGAAAGTTAATTTTTAATAAAATCTCTTTTTTATTAAAAATAATTTCTATATAAGTACCATGTAAATGTTCTTCAAACGAAATTGTAAAATTGTGTTGTCGCTAAAACTAATAACATTGAACTTACCCGCTAAATATCCAGACCACTCCCTAATATTCGATAAATTACTATGTATGCTTACATAATTGTTTTATGTTCATTATAAATATAATAATGCCTTTTTAAACAGGTGACAAATGCCCTCCTCTTGACCTTCTGACCAGCGACTGCTTTTCCCTTGGTGACATTGTTTCTGACGAAGATCTGAAGCGACTTCTCCTCCATGCCTGTAACTGGCACGAAGTTTGCTATACATGTGTAAGTTGCTGTGAATACTTTGGTTGTTAATATTAGATTTGTGCAAGCTCTTGCCGACTCATCAATAATAATAATAATAATAATAATAATAATAATAATAATAATAATAATAATAATAATAATAATAATAATCCATTCGAACATGGGGCACCTGAAAGCCCGAATTTTGAATTTACAATATAATTTTGACTATAATTTATGTCATATCTCGTAAAACATTAACGTATTTTTGATTAACAAACTCAACAATTTCAAAGCGAGCAGTAGCAACATAGTATATAATAAAACATTTTTATCTCCAGCTCGCGAGACTCTCTATCGGAAATTCTAAAGATATGCTGGTTTTAAATATTTTGTGATTTAGCTGTTAAATCGGATTTCATGTGGCGTAAGTGCCGAGAACGTGATATTTAATAAATAAAGTAAACATGCAAAAATTAATAATAAAGAGACAGAATAAAGTTTTGCAAAGCATGTTAGTAAGAAAATTGAGCATTGATATGATGAACTGAGAAAAGACTGAAAACAGCTGATTAAACATATTGAAAATTTTAAATTCGGGATTCTATGTGCCCATGTTTGGGTGGAGGATTACATTGCATCGGGAATTATAAACATATACTGTTATGCTGCTTTCAAACGTTTTGAAATTTTGCTTTTGAACTGTATATGGTTCAGGTGCTTAAAAAATGATACATAATAAATAAAGCTAAAAAAATAAAAAAAATTGGTTACTGGGAGTGAATGTAACAGCAGACTGGTAGACTGCGAGGTCAACGAGAGCGTAAATACTTTTTGTGCGACCGTTAAAATCTGAAACCTTTCAGTTACTTTTCCTTAATTTTATTTAATTTTAAGAGAGGCATTTAAAATTTAGCTTGTCATTATATTAAAATTCTTTAACAAGAATGTTTTGCGTACGAATTTAAAGCTACTGCAGGTGCATGCACGTTGGATTAGTGAGAAGTGTGAATTATGAGAACATTTTTAAGTGTTAAAAGGTGGAAGAAAGTGATTCGTTGTTTTATAAATGATAATGCTTTTAAATGCCGTCAGTTTGAAACTGCATTGAATCTTTAATACATTTGATGCTCAACCTGCTAAATTTGGAGAAATTTTGTAACCTTTATAATTTAATAGAACTTTGTATAAGAAAGTGAATAATTAGAGTCTAGCACAAAACATTAGAATTTTTTCGCTACAGAGGTGGTACACTGGAGAAGACATTTCTAAAGAAAAAATGGCTCATAATTTAGGTTACATATATAAGTGAATTTTCCGAAATGCCCGTGCAAAATATTAGAAAATAGAATGCTTTTATATTGCATAACTTTTACTGAGCAGTAAATTATTTAATTCTGTGCATTTTTTAGACCATCATGATCTGGTAAAGGCGATTATTTTGACATTAATAAGTACGAAGACTTAGATTACACAGAGATCCACTTAAAATTATATAGCTTGAGTATAAAGTCTGTAAATCTAAAACATTTTATCTACATTTAAAATGACATGATTAATTTTGACTCCTTTTATTAAATGAAAGAGTTTTTTATTTTTACTTCTGTAGAGTAAAATACGAACAAGCACTTATGACATTCACTTTAAACATTAAAACAAAATATTTATCTTACTAAATTCACTTAGTTTATTTTTTATATTACGAACAAAGAGTAAAACTTTAGTGAAATCGATTTACTTAGAGGAATTACAATATTCAGTTGTTGAGAGACATTAAAAACTGCATTATCGTGAGGAATATTTCCTTCAAAACAATCCAAGATAACGTGATTTCGTATTACTCATTTGCTTTGTTTGCACTACTTAATTCAGACAATTTCGAGAAGCAAATCTTTTCAAAACTTTCTTCTAAGATGAAAAATATTTGGAATGAAAAGAGTTTTTTCCCTCTTTTAAAATAAAAATTATAAATATCGTAACAAAATTATGTTAAATTAAATAAAAATTATAAATATCGTAACAAGATTAATTTTCTAAGATTGAAGGATTCTAAAACTAAAGTATTTACTTCGCATTCTTTTCTTTTAATACCAAATTATGTTTCAGTTAAATATTATCGTCTTAAAAATGCTGTTAAAAATTTTTGCTCCTATTCGTTTCGCCATTTTAAAAATAACAACGTTTGCAGTGGTTGTAGTTGTTAGAAGAAAAAAGAATAATTTTCGCCACACATTTTAAACTACGCAAGAAAAAACTGCTTATGAAGATCAAAATTATACCGAATAATCAATTAATCAAACAATAAGAACATTTTGCACAGTTATAATTGTTTGTCATTATTTTGATCAAATACTTCATATTATTTTACCTTAGACAGGAGAAGTGACAGATTCTTCAAAGCGTTTTTGGCGCTAATTTTATCAGGTTCAGTGTTCCTCCTTATTTGCTTGGGGAACATTAAATGACCTGACTCGGAACAGGGAGCTTAAGCTATGTTCAATAAATGTGGGAAGTAGACAAGATACGCAGGAAGGGTATACGAAACCCTTTGTTTTTCTCTCTTTACTCTTCGGAATACAGAGACCAACCACTTGTGGTCTGAACGTAAGAATATAAAAATATTAACTAAACTCTAACTAACTTTGGAATAATAACAAGTGCCTAAGAGATTGGCCGTATATTAACAGGAAGCCGTATGTAGTACAGAGAACTGTTAACACTACAATACGTTTAAAATTATCAAGAGGATTAAACCTCTGGCCTGGAAGGCAACCAGCAACCGAGTAAAACTTGCTAAGGCAAGCGGCCTGCTTCGACTAACTCCTTCCTCTCTCTTCGCTTGGCAAAAAGCCACAACTTAAGTACTTGGCGTTCGCCAGACAAATTTGCATAAATAAGTTAAAGCTTTTAATTCTGGCCGGAAGTAGAAAATAAGAAGTGATAGTAAAGATTTAAAATAAAATAAACGTTAGTAAAACTTAAGATCCTTACATACTTCCCGCCAGAGTTAATTAGTTTGAAACTGAGGTCTAAAACGACCTTGTTGAAAACTTTTAGCTCTAGAATCTAACGCGAGGCCAATCTTTTACAAACATTTCTCACTAGAAACTAGAAATTTAAAAAAAAAATTGTTTTTTACATTATCAGCTCCATGGACAATTACTTTTTCATCTGTACTGCATCTAAACAGGAGCTTTTAGTTCAAATCTGGTTCCTTCCAGAGATCTGGAAGGAAAACTAGTTTAATGAAATGTTACACAATGAAATGGCAAGTAACATGAATATTTATATTTCTCTTAACATTCTTATTTCATTCATGACTTTATTTTAATTATCTCTCCCCGTGCTCTCTGACATGTGTTGTAAAAAACACGAATGTGTTTATGTGTTCCGCCTACAATCAAAACACTAACGTGTTAAAATTCAACATAACAAGACCTCGTAACACACCCTTATCTTCAACTCTAAACCCTGAGGTACTATTCTGAAAGTGGCTAACTCTGAAGTGTAGCGTCAGAGAGCCTAACTACATTCATTCAACCTTTAACACATATTCACCATAATTTTCTCTTTTTACAGTCACACGAATAAGTTTAAAATTTTTGGCATTACTTTCACTTTTACCATATCACAGTATTTCTTAACATTTAAAATAACAGTTCACATTGTATATAAGAACATATTAACATGCCGTTAATTTTACGCATTTTAAAACATACATTAGTAGTACATTGTTAACTTCTATTCTTTTCCAAGCAAGTGCCAATTCTTCTACATTGAAATACTACATTTCAAAAGTCTTTCAGACTAAAACTTCTTTCTTGCCAGAATGTTTTAAATAAAATTTATACAATAACTTTTACAATATTAAGTATTTACACATTCCTATTATACATCAACTTTAGTTTTACTCGCGCGTAAGTAATTGAAAAACATAATACCAAAATCGGTAACAACTCATTTCTCGCCTTTTTGGCGATAAAGGTAGACCTCACATGAGGTAAAACTTCTTGAAATCTGCCACTTGCAGTAAGAATGAAAGATTAACTTAAGTTTGCAAAGTAACATAAAATTTTACTTATCTTTGTGATATTCGGACATTCTTTTTTCTGAGCCCAGTCCTGGAAGGTAGCGAAGATTAGCGTTTGATTTATCCTCCTTCTTGTGCGGGCTCGCCCTTCAGTCCTTCCTCTAGAAGCTTTCTTTTCCTCCAGTTCGGTCACCCTTGAATACCTTCTTTTTCGCCTCTGCCTGTGGTCTTGGCCGTTTGATGGCAGCTGGTCTTGGCGGAACCGGGACACTTCTCTCTCGTTCCTGCTTGGACCTCGTTGCTGGCCGTTCAAATTTTCCTTGTTATCTTTTCCTCCGCCGCTGGTGGCCCTTCCGCAGTTCGGCGACATTTTGACATTTGCTGCGTAGAGTCCTGTCCGATGAGTAGATCTTCCGTTTGGGAGCCGGGTTATAGTTGCCGTTATTTCTCCTGGCTCTCTTTGCATTCGTCGTACTTCTCCCTTCTTCATTCTGGGGGTGGTCGTGAGCTCTCTTTTCTGGACGGTGGAACGGCTTCTTTTTCTTGTTACCTTCAATTTTCCAACGGGGAAACTTTCTTTTCAATTGCTCCTGCCTCCTAATGGCTTGCCCTTGTACTTGTCGTTGTTCCACCTCTGGAGCTTGTGCCTGCCGTGCCTGCCGTGCCGGATCCTGCAAAAGATCTTTGAATATTTGCATTTTATTACGATCATAGTATGGTTTTATTTGGTCAATGTTTGCGGAGCATGTTTCACCATTCCTGGCTTTTAACACCACTACAGCGTGAGTTATTTTTTCTATGACATATGGTCCTTCAAATCGTGGAAAAAATTTGGCGGTTTTATCTTCTGGTGCTGAAGAAAGTGAATGCTTAATTTTTAATACTTCATCTCCTACTTTATAAGTTACTCCCCGTCGTTTCAATATCATAATAGAGCTTCTGTTTTCTCTGTGCTACTACTTCAGTGTTCTTTTTTGCTTCTTTAATTAATTTTTCTATATCACCCATT